TTTGTTTTTTGTTGTTGTTGTTTTTCGAGACAGGGTTTCTCTATGGCTTTGGAGGCTGCCCTGGAACTAGCTCTTGTAGACCAGGCTGGCCTCGAACTCACAGAGATCCGCCTGCCTCTGCCTCCCGAGTGCTGGGATTAAAGACATGCGCCACTAACGCCCGGCTGGCAGAAGATATTTCTATCCCATATAAATTCTCCAGAGTCAAATTACATAAACAATCTTGGACCCAATTAACATGTGGTTTCCTTGAGAAAGCATTAAAAGTGAGCTGTCAGTCATCTGTCAGTCAGGAATTAGTCCTTCATTGTCTTTCCTGTAATCAGTTGCTTCTCTAGTAAGCTTTAGTTCATGGACTAATGAATACAGAGGCCTATGCTAGTACAACCATGTTGGTGATTCAACCAGGACATTCCTGTGCATATTAGCGTTTGGAAGCAACTGAATAAAAAGACAAACCAGTTGTGGTCATTCATGCTTGTGATCCCAGTACTTGGGAAGTAGAGGCAAGAGAGTCAGGAGTTCAAGATTAGCCTAGTTCATTTAGAGAGTGTGAGACTAGTCTAGACTACATGCAACACTCAGTGAAACAATAAATCAAAGATAAAACCAAACAAAAGCCTTAGTAATGTCAGATCTTCCAGAAAAGTTGAGAATCCTATAGGGATCTCTCTTTTTGCTAAAACATCTGACTTAGAGATTGCCAACCACCCACACTACATTGTCTCACCATGTTGAACTTTCTGGCAATTGTGTGACCGATGTAAATAAGGAGGATTGTGCTAGATCAGTGATTCTCTACCTGTGGGTTGTGACCCCAGAAGGGTTGCATATCCAATATCCTGCATATCAAATAGTTACATTATGATTCATAATAGCAAATTTACAGTTATGAAGTAACAATGAAATGATATTATGGTGGGGTTACTACGTGAGGAACTGTATTAAAGGATCACAGCATTAGGAAGGTTGAGAACCACTGCTCTAGATGTTAATGAAATGTTGATGAATACTAACCTGCTAGATGTGGTTTTTGATTTTTAAAAATTTGCTTTTATCAAGAGTTAATTCCTGTTGGGCAGTGGTGGCACACACCTTTAATCCCAGCACTCAGGAGGCAGAGGCAGGCTGATCTCTGTGAGTTTGGGACCACCCTGATCTATAAGAGCTAGTTCCAGGACAGCCTCCAAAGCCACAGAAAAACCCTGTCTTGGAAAAAAAAAAGTTAATTCCTTCAGAACATAATTTTTACAAGGAGGAGGCAGGTGCTAAGGCTTGGAGAGACCTGCTAAGGATGCCAACTTGGTACACATGTATTTGGAATATAGTTCATGCAGAAATGCCCACAGTAGAAAACAATCTCATGGTTTCTAGCCTTCTGGAAACAAATTTTCCTTCTTTCCCCCTTAAAAAAACGCTGTCTCCGTTGCTCACAAGGAAGCTCTCAGGGATAGGTTTGGAACCTTTGGTGTGGCTGAGGATAGCTCGATGACAGAGGGGTCATGAAGGAAGACAGGGAACCTCTGGGGCACTCAGAGCTAGGTGAGCCATTACCTGGTGGGTACCTGATGATGGGGTTAGACGGTATGGGAGGGGCGGAAAACAGAAGGAAGTGCCCAGCTTCTTGTGTCTCCTCAGGTCCTCTCCACATTGGAGATACCTCAGGCAGCGGTTAGGGACATATCTTACAGGCTTTGGGGGCCTCAGGAAGAGAGTAATGTTTCAAGGGAGAGTAATAAGCCAGGCAGAAATGAAGATATTCTAGAGACACTGTCTCTCAATCTGACTTTCAAAAGACTATTGAAACAATGAACCTTAAAGAAATGGGAATCTCAAAAAAGAAAAAAAAGAAAGAAAGAAAGAAAGAAATGGGAATCTCACCAGGCATTGGTGGTGCACGCCTTTATTCCCAGTACTTGGGAAGCAGAGGCAGGTGGATCTCTGTGAGTTCCAAGGTCAGTCTGGTCTACAGAGTTACAGGACAGGCTCCAAAACAATACAGAGAAACCCTGTCTTGAAAGGAAAGGAAAGGAATGGGAGTCTCATGCTGGGATCAGGAAAAGGCACCAGAGGGGGGTCTTGTTTCCTGGGAGGGGATTTTGTAGTTTTAGCAACTTCTCAGACTGCCTAATTGGGTAAGAGTGGAGCTCAGACAATAGTGGGGGGAGGTGTGTCTTGACTGGGATTGCTTAAATGCGCATATTTTGACGCTCTATTTAAATTTTAATCTCAGTTCAGAACTCAGGATTCACTGGGGGATTTGCAGATTCTCTTTGTCCCTCTTCCCAATGTAGCCACATCAAATAAATCTATTTTCTCTGTTTTCCACTTTTAATTTTGCTCCTTTAATTGGCTTATTGAGAACAGGTGGTCAGATCTAGTTTGAGAACAAGCTGTGACTCACAGTTAAGTGATAGGATTGATTTACAAGCAAAGGAATATTTTAAGGGTTGAAAGTTGCTAGACACAGTGATTTTTTTTTTTTTTCTCCCCGAGACAGGGTTTCTCTGTATTGTTTTGGAGGCTGTCCTGGAAGTCGCTCTGTAGATTGGGCTGGCCTCGAACTCAGAGAGATCCATATGCCTCTGCCTCCCGAGTGCTGGGATTAAAGGCGTGCACCACCAATGCTCGGCTTTGACTCGGTGATTTAAGACTATATACCTAGTACTTGGGAGATAATGCCAGAGGTCACCTTAAGTTCAAAGCCAGCATGAACGACTGTATTATTCAGGATTCTCTAAAGGAACTGAATTGACTGAATGTGTGTCTTGTGTACTCTTATTATAAATACACCATTTATTAAAGTGACTTACAGGCTAGTCCAATAATGGCTGTCTCCTCACCCAAGAATCTGGTAACTGACTACACAAGGGTAGGCGTTTCAACTGGTCTCAGGCTATGTTGAAACCCTGAATAAATATGTTCTAAAGCCTCAGCAGCAGGATAGATGAACTTATCAGTAAGAGGGCAAGCAGGCAAAAAACAAACGATTTCTTTTTTCTGTATACGGGCTGACGAGAGATTTGGAATGGGTCGAACCACTTCAAATGATCCAAGGAAGAAAAATCCCTCACAGGTTTGCCCAGCTACTTGGGGTTTAGTCAATGGCAAATGTGGTTAAGGAGGAGGGGAGGGAGCTGGGATTGACATGTGAAGCAAGCTTGTTTCTAATGTAAATAATAATAAAAAAAAAAACATAGAAAAAAACACTCCTCTCCCCCTACAAATAGACATTATTATTATTATTATTAGTCCTGCCTTCCTTTAGGCCCCATAAAAGAAGCCCCAATTAGTAACTTTGGGTCTTTGAGTACTATTTCAAAAATGGAAAGTGAATACAGGCAAAAAAAAAAAAACTGGAAAATTCAGTTAAAAATTGGAGAATTTGTTATGCTAAACTAATGCTATTTAAGCAACATTATGTTTCTGCAAATGTGAAGGAACTGGAATTTAGATCTCTAGGATTTTTATTCTACAGTATCAGGTTTCCAATTTAACAGGGCAGATAACTTTCTTTAGTCCCTTTTCTTTTCTTTTGTTTCCTTCCTGACTGGTCATATATAGTTTATTTAGGTTTAAAAAAATCGGGGGGGGGGACGAAAGAGTGGGAAGGGGAAACTGGGTGTGATGTAAAATAAATGAAAAATTTTAATTTAAAAAGTCATACTTTTCTCCTTTCTTTACACACACACACCCGTACATTATTATGTCGTTTACAGTTGACTCGCTCCTTGGCAATATCTTTCTTTCCTTTCTTCCCTCCCTTCCTTCTTTCTTCCTTTCTCTCTCTCTCTCTCTGTCACAGAGATCAGCGCCTGCCTCTGCCTCCCCAGGACTGGGATTAAAGACGTGCACCACCAACGCCCAGCTCTTTGTTTTAAGACAGGGTCTTAGTGTTTAGCTTCAGCTGACCTTGAATTCACAGGGTTTAACCTGCCAAGTGCTGGGACTGTAAAGACTTGGTTTCTAGAGACAGGGTTTCTCTGTGTAAAAATCAGCCAGTGGTCTTTGCATCCTCTAGGGTTACCGGAAACCCAGACCCAGAGTCTAGGCAGGCTCAGGAGAGCATCAGATCCAACCCTGTGGGCAGAGGCAGGTGGATCTCTGTGAGTTCGAGGCCAGCCTGGTCTGCAAGAGCGCGGTCCAGGGCAGCCTCCAAAACAATACAGAGAAAGAAGCCTTCCTGTTTCGAAAAACCAGAAAAAAAAATCTGTGCACCTGCTCCTTTTCCTCCTGTCCCCGAGGCAAGAGGCAAGACCCCACACCGACCTCAGAACCTAGCAGGGAGCGAAGTCCCGGCGCTAAGAGCCGTGCACCTTTAAACAGTCCTGAAACCACGTGACTCCGAGCGAGCGCGCCGGCCCGGCGGTCACGTGAGAGCGCGTGCGTGCGCCACGCTCGGGGCGAGCCGGCCTGCAGTGGCCTGTGCGTCCCGGGGCCCAGCCTCCCGCCCACCCCTGGAGCCCCGCCCACCCCTGGGGCCCCGCCCATCCCTGGGGCCCCGCCCATCCCTGGGGCCGGGAGGGAGGGAGGGAGGGGGAGCGGCGGAGGGATCCCGCGGCGGGGCCTCCCGTGCGCGTGCGCGGCGAACAGCTGTCACCGAGTGCGGAACAAGTCTTCCAAAGCTTCCCAAAAGCCCGAGGGGAGGCCGCACTTTTGCTCCCCTCCTCCGGGCGGTGTCCGGGCCTCTCCCGGGCCGCGGCGCAGGTAACCGCTTCTTGGTCCGGGTGGAGCGGAGAGAGGGGGCGGGCCTCGGGCGGCCTTGGCGGGGGCAGCGAGCCGCGCAGGCCCCCCCGGGCGCTCGGCGGCGGTGCACCGCCGTCAGCTGGGAGGGAGGAGGCGGCCGTGACAGCCCCATGCCGGCCCCCCCGGGTTCCGGAGCTCGCTCGCCGGCCTCCCGGGAGCCGAATCGAGGTGCTGCCGCCTGGCACTGCCACGCCTGGGTGGTCCCCGGGGCGCCACCCGCCCGCCCGCGGCCGACTCCGGGAAGCCTGGGCCTGGCCTGTGCGTCCTCGGGGCCTCCCTGGGGTCGGGCTGCGGGGACCCGCGAGGTCGCAGGTAGCCCGCCCCTCCCCAGGCCTTATTCCCGGCCCTGGCAGGTGACCTTTTCCTTGTTTGGTTTTTTCCTCTCCTCCGTCTCGGGGCCGCTTCTTTGTGCAGTTCCCGGAGGAGCCATGATGCGGGGTAGACAGTGGGCGCTTAATAAAGGCGAGGTCCAGGCGGCGTGCGAGCTGCCGGGCGCCGGGCGTGCAGTGCGGCGGGGGATGCCGCGGGCAAGGCAGGCTGCACGCCCGGGGCTGCAGCCTCACGTCCCCTTGCTCAGCGGTGACGGCAGCCCGGGGGCTCTGTGCGGCGGCTCTCGAGGTGGACTCGGGAGGCTGCAGCCCGCCGGAGGGGCTGAGCCCGGGCAAGCTCGCGCCGACTGCATTTGGCTAGGTGTTCGAGACTCAGTAAACTTTGGTCTCCCCCTCCTCGATGCTGCGATCATCCACACTGTGTGATTTACCCAGCACTACTGACTGCTTAGAAAGCTTGAGTTAGAATTGCAGCCAGCTCCCGGGAGGTGAAGCTTTTGATTGGCTCGGTCCGCTTTGGTTGGCACCAGTATTTGCTCTGTTTCACCCACTTGAATTTTGCACTGAAAGGGGAGGGAGGGGGATTTCACTGTTTCTACGGCAACGGTTATTAATATTCTAATTTAAAAGCGTGGTGCTTAAAAATCAGTGACTTTGAATTTTATTTATTTTTTAAGTTTTGAGTTTTTTTTTTTGTTTTTTTTGTTTTTTGTTTTTCGAGACAGGGTTTCTCTGTGGCTTTGGAGGCTGTCCTGGAACTAGCTCTTGTAGACCAGGCTGGTCTGGAACTCAGAGATCCTACTGCCTCTGCCTCCCAAGTGCTGGGATTAAAGGCGTGCACCACCAACGCCCGGCTAAGTTTTGAGTTTTTGAGTCAGGGTCTTAACTATCTGTAGTTCTGCTCTACCTGGAACTCCTTATGGTAGCTGACCTGGAGTTTAAGAAGATCCACCTGCCTCTGCCTCCCTTGTTCAGGGATTCCTGGTGTTCCGCTCTGCTACTGGCTATTCACTCTAAAATTTACAGACCTAGGCTGGGAATATAGCTCAAGTGGTAGGGTGCTTGCTTATTATTTGAAGACTTTAGGTTCACTCTAGTTTGGAAAAAGGGGGGGAAAAGTTCATTTTTCCCCCCTATGCAGTCTGCTCACTAAGTTTATGGAAGTTTGATGGCCTAGTAACCTGCCATGCTGTTTTTTTAGAATGTATTCCCTACCTGCTCAGGAATTTTAGGCCCTTTCCCCTATTTTAATGTTATGAGTTTACACATAATGTTTACAGTTCTCCGAAAAATATGTAGTTCAAAAAAATTCAACTCAGGCCTGCTTTGTTTAACTAGGAAATTTACTTAATTACTACCCCAGTCCTGTGTCCTTTTCCACTGAGACTGCCTCTGGTAGTCCACGTTGGTGGGTGGGTGACCTTGAATTTGTGATCTTTCTGTCTCCTGAGGGTTGGGATTACCATTGTTTGACTCAATGCTGGGGAAGGAAATCATGGCTTCTGTGAGTTGTAGGAAAACACTCTACCAAGCTACCTTTCCAGTCTTACTTTCTGTTAGGAGGGTTTCTTACTGCTTTATATATGCTCTTGGTGTTTATTAGAGGTTAAAATGATAAAATAGGAACATTCTTTACTGTCACTAAGTTCAATGTGTAGTGCAGGTCTGTCTTTAAAATTTTTTCTTCTTTAGCGGGGCGTCGGTGGGGCACGCCTTTAATCCCAGCACTTAGGAGGCAGAGGCAGGTGGATCTTTTGTGAGTTCCAGACAAGCCTGGTCTACAGAGTGAGTGCCAGGACAGGCTCCAAAGCTACACAGAGAAACCCTGTCTCGAGAAACCAAAAAAAAAAAAAAAAAGTAATTTTTTTCTTCTTTTATTATATATCGCTTAGTGCTTCTCTCCAAGTACCACTTCTTATTTACTTTTATTTCATTTTTCATACAATATACTTTGATTATGTTTTTCCTGCATTGACTCCTTTCTGAGCTTCAGCTTTCTACATAACATGCTGTCTCTTGCTTTCAACTTCCCCCCAAAACTAACAAACCAAACAAAAACACAGTAAGACAAAAAATTCCTAAGTAAAACAAAGGATGTACATAGAAAAAGAGGGAGAGGGAGAGGTAGCCTGCACAGTACCTTCCAGCACCATGAATACACCAGCAGGGGCAAAGCTTCTATTAGGTACCAGCCCAGTATCTCCACGTTTTATGATGTAAATACATAGTGTCTTCAGCGTTAGGGTGAGTAACCAATAGTTTTGGCAAAAGCCTGTGATTTTTAAAAAATAATTTGTTTTTATTTTATGTGCATTGGTGTTTTGCCTGCATGTATGTCTGTGTGATAGTGTCAGATTTTAGAATCACAGACAGTTGTGAGCTGCCATGTGAGTGCTGGAAATTCAGCTCCAATCCTCTTGAAGAGCAGTCAGTGCTCTTAACCACTGAACCATCTCTCCAGCCGTTAGCCTATGATGTTTTGAAGACATATCTATGGGGCCCATTTGGCCATTGACTCAAAAAGATGTAACCCATTCCGAGCACTGGGGGTTTATGGCATAAGATGTGTGTAGTTGGGGTGTAGTTGGGGTATTGTCTCCCCCATTATATGGTGATTCCATTCAGATTAGCTTCATAGATACATATTTAGGAAACTTCCACAGTAATAGGTTTCCATGTGGTTTTTCAGTGTCCCTCCCCATATTCCCTCTTTTACCCTGTCCTGCCATCTCCCTACCCATTTGATCTTCCTAGTCTATCCTCCCCTTTATCTTTCCATAACACTGTATCTCATTGTTAACAACCAAAGATTCCTCTGTGTAAATGTACCACATTTTCATTATCCTTCCAGTACTTTATTAGTCCTTAGGCTGTTTCCAGTCTCTGGCTGTTACGTAGAGGGCAGCAGTGAACATGGATGAGCAAGAATCTCTTTAGTAAGATATAGAATCCTTTGGGTATATGCAAGGTGGTAGCACCATCCCCGATTTCAAGTTATGTTACAGAGCTATGGTAATAACAACAGCAACATGGTATTGCTATAAAAGCAGACATGTTGTTCAGTAGAATAGAATCGAATATTCAGACATAATTCCTCACCTCTGTGGACACCTGAACTTAGATAATGAAGCCAGAAATACACCGTGGAGAAAAGAAAGCTTCTTTAATCATGGTGCTGGTCAGACTGGATGACTGCATGTAGAAGAATGAAAACATATCCATATTTTTTTCCCAAACAAAACTCAACTCTAAATGGATCAAGGACCTCAACAGAAGACCAGATACCCTGAGGGGTAAAGTCAGGAACAGCCTTGAACTCACTGGCTCAGGGAAGGGTTTTCTGATGAGAACACTAATGTCACAGGTTCTAAGATCAATTAATACACGGCACCTCATGAAACTGACGAGCTTTTGTATGGCAAAGAGCACCATCATTTGGGCAAAGTGGCAGGCTACAGAATGGGATATGACCATTACCAATTATACGTATGATAGAGTGTTAGTATCAAGAATGAATAAAGACCCCAAAAAAGTGAAGGTCCAGGGGAAAGAAATAAAACAGAGAATTACCAAAAACAAACAAACAAAAGCCCAAAACAGATGTCTGAGAAATACCTACAGAAAAGGGAAATGCACATTAAAACTACTTGGATATTTCATCTTAACACATTCAGAATAGCCAAGGTGAGTAAAATGACAGCACACGGGGACTGGAAAGGGTTATTCATTGTTGGTGGGAGTGCAAACTGGTACAGCCAGTATGGAAGTAAGTGTGGAGGTTCCTCAGGAAGCTTGAGAATCAATCTACTTCAAGATGCAGCCATTTATTTTGGGGGAACAGGTCTCACTTTGTTGTGGTGGTGGCCTGGAACTCTGTGTACACCAGGCAGCCCTGGGATTCCTGGAGAACTGCCTGCCTCTGCCTTCAGAGTGCAGGGATTAAAGACTTGTGCCACCATTCCTTTCTCTGCCTGCCATCTCTCACCTGAGTACCTTGGGGGGAATTGTATAAAGTCATTGTTTTGTTTTTGTTTTTGCAGTACTGAGGATAGACCCCCCAGCCCCTTATACATGCAATGTGTATTTTTGTTCTTACCACTATAGAGAATGGGAGTCCTAAAATATAAATGTAAAATACTAGTGTTAAATGGAACAAGATAATAGCAGTAGTTAGTCTGGACAGGGAGCTGATACATAATTTGTAATTTCCTTCAGGGATGAAGTTTAATTAGAGTGAGACAGACTCGATGGCATAGCTCATTTTATTTTTCAATCTACCAACACCCGAAGCTTCTCTATACACTTCCCTCTCTGCCCCTTGGAATTAACTGATACCCTGAAAAGACATTGCCTTTCATAGTCCATGTTAGCTGGGTCTAATCCCATCCACAGTCAGAATAATCCATTTAAGAAGTTTATCGTCCTTGCTTCACCTTCTAGCCTCTCTTCATTGTGGAAGCAGCCTGTGGTTTGTAACCAGCCCATAATTTCTCACTGTACTCACTTGTCTCCTTAGCTCTAAGGATGCGGTTGACACTTTATTCTCACCCCTTTAGACTTCACTACTCCTCTTTTATACTTCACTGTTTACTCAGTTTATTTTCCCCACCCTCTTTCTGAAAGCTCAGCTAGAATTGAGGGTGAGTGATTGCACATTGCTGGCTTGTAATCTCAGCTGTGGGGTGGGGATGCCAGGAGTGCTTCAGGTCAAAGCAGACTTAACTCCTCGAGGCCTGCCTGGGCTACATAGGAGACCCTGTCGCAAAAACAAAATAAAACAAAAGTGCTAAACAGTTCAGATGGGGTTGTCTCTTTAAGTCAATTTCTGTTTAATTTTGCACATGGATCATAAAGCAGATATGTTAAAGTCTTAGTCATCTTGTTTTCTTCCTTCCCCATAGACATTGATAGTGGTTATTTACTTTTGGTAATGAAGTTGTTGGTTAATTGTTCCTCTGTGCATTTTCTCAGTTTTCTTCTGTGACTTATGGATGCACTTTGAACAAGAGAAAAGATTTAAAATACAAAAAATAAGTATATTATAATATGTTTAATAATAGACATGGTAAAATCCATGTCTTTTAGAAAGTCTAGGAAATAGAAGGAGGGAAAAAGGAGCCGGGCGTTGGTGGCACACGCCTTTAATCCCAGCACTCGGGAGGCAGAGGCAGGCGGATCTCTGTGAGTTCGAGGCCAGCCTGGTCTACAGAGCGAGTTCCAGGACAGCCTCCAAAGCCACAGAGAAACCCTGTCTCGAAAAACCAAAAAAAAAAAAAAAAAAAAAGAGGAGGGAAAAAGAAAAGCCCCCAGAGCTGATGGTGATGGGTGGTGGTCTCCTGTAATCTCAGCACTTGGCGAGGCTAAATCAGTAGACTTTCAAGTGCTGTGTTCTGTGGACTATGTAACCAGACATTGTCACAGGGTAGGGGATTGGGGGAGTCATCACTATTGCTTTTTTTTTAATTAAAATTTTATTTATTTTTTTGGTTTTACGAGACAGGGTCTCTCTGTGTTGTTTTGGAGGCTGTCCGTCCAGCCTGGCCTCGAACTCACAGAGATCCGCCTGCCTCTGCCTCCCGAGTGCTGGGATTAAAGGCGTGCGCCACCACCGCCCGGCTAAAATTTTATTTTTATTTTATGTACGTTGGTGTTTTACCTGCATGTATGTCTGTGTGAGGGTGTCAGATCCCCTAGAACTGGAGTTACAGTCAGTCATCAACTTCCATGTGGGTGCTGGCAATTGAACACAGGTTCTCTGGAAGAGCAGCCAAGTGCTCTTAACTACTGAGCCATCTTGCCAGCCCCCAGTATTACTTGTTTATTAGTCAATTTTTCTTTCTGTAGCTTTTACTTTTAATAACTTAAATGAGAATTTAGTATATAGACAATCTAATTCCATCTCACTGCCCAGCTAGAATACAAGCCTCTATTTTGTCTTACCTAGACTTAGATAAATTGCCTCCGTGGTGCTCTCCCTCCTTCATCCTCTCGTTCTCTCTATTCTTTCTTTTTTTCTTATAAAACAACAAGAAATCAAAATGTGAAGGAGATCACTTTCTACTTCAGTTTCCCTGTAATAGGTAACCTTAGAGAGATAATATATCCTTGAATGGTGTGAAAAATGTTATGAGTTCCAGGAACTGGAGAGGTTAAAGGGGAAGAAGTCTACAATTATTTCCTGGAATACTAAGATAAACTCCAAATTTGTTTTCCTAGTCTTTTATTTCTCTTGCTTCTCTGTCTTGTTTTCAATCATATTTGCCTCCGTACTATCTCTTAAAGAACAGAGCCTAGGATACTCCTTCCTTGCCTGAAATAGTCTTCCAGATTTATATGTTTATTTCTGTCCTTTAGGCATCTCCTGGGTTTTATTTGTCTGAAATACCTTCTTTACCTACTTTAAAACAGGAATTCTCCCTGTTGGCACTCAATCCACTTGGTACTGACTATTATTGTAAGTCAGAACTCAATGAAAAGCAGCTTTGTCTGCTGAGACTGACTGACTGATTAGAATTTCAATACTGTAGAGAGGTTGGAATGTTGCAGGCCGAGAGTTTAACTACCTTATTGTGGAATAGTTACCTTATCTTGGGCTAGTTGTAGTCACCTGCACTCAGTAGCCATTACTTTCTCCTGTCTGTGCCAGAACTAACATCTTGTGACAAATAAAGGAAAACCCTTTGGAATCTATTAAGTTAGCTTCCACCAGCCAAATAATAAGAATGTCTTCAAATAGCCTCTAGGGCCTGTAGAAAATCTTCCTCCATGTTGTTGTAACTGCCACTGTGTTGTACCTACTGCTTTTTTAATTTTGCGTTGATAACATAATTCTTTGTGCATATATACAGGCCTAGGGTATATGAGCATATGTACATGTGTGAGATAGTGGAACTTGCATATCTGTGAAAGACTGCACTTCCAGGAAGTTCAGTTTACTTGGAAAGGTTTCAGGGAGGTCAGTTTACAGCCAGGTCAGTGATTCAGTACCCAGAACAGGAACATGTTGGGAAGCCACCTGAGGCCTCTTTTTCCAGGACTCCAAGAAAAGATGTGAGACTCATAGGTGAGGAGTGGTCAGTCAGTAAAGAGAATAGTTCTTTTCCTTTGGTAGACACTTACAAGCTATGTTGGTGCAGGCCCCTGATTAAACACAATTTCAGTCATTTATTTTTTTGGGTGGGGAGGTTTCGAGACAGGGTTTCTCTGGCTTTGGAGGCTGTCCTGGAACTAACTCCATGTAGACCAGGCTGGTCTCCAACTCACAGAGATCCGCCTGCCTCTACCTCCCGAGTGCTGGGATTAAAGGCGTGTGCCAACACCAGTAATTATTTATTTTTTTGGTTTTTCGAGACAGGGTTTCTCTGTGTTGTTTTGGAGGCTGTCCTTGAACTCGCTTTGTACACCAGGCTGGCCTCAAACTCACAGAAATCTGCCTGCCTCTCTCTGCCTTCCGAGTGCTGGGATTAAAGGCGTGTGCCAACACCAGTAATTATTTATTTTTTTGGTTTTTCGAGACAGGGTTTCTCTGTGTTGTTTTGGAGGCTGTCCTTGAACTCGCTTTGTACACCAGGCTGGCCTCAAACTCACAGAAATCTGCCTGCCTCTCTCTGCCTTCCGAGTGCTGGGATTAAAGGCGTGCGCCACCAATGCCCGGCCAGTAATTTATTGTTAATGGTCACATTTTCTCTACAGAGACTCCTGTAGTCATCATGGAGGTTGTGGAGGAGAGTCCCCTGAATCCCAGCTGTAAGATAATGACCTTCAGACCTTCGATGGAGGAGTTTCGGGAGTTCAACAAATACCTCGCGTACATGGAGTCTAAAGGAGCCCACCGAGCAGGTCTTGCAAAGGTGATTATATTCAAGACTCGTCACTCAAAATTATCATTTGACTTTTAAATTATGCTCTTAGTTTTTTGTTTCACTTTGTTTTTTTGTTTCTTTCAATGGAATGTGTCTGCTATTCTTGTTAATCCACCTGAAACATTTAGTTTTCTTAAAGAATAGCTCTTTTCTTTGGATTTTTTATATTTGGCTGTGTTCTATGGTAGTTTCTTCTCTTACTTCTACTCTTCCTTGTTCTTTTCTTTTTTAAATTTTTTAAAATCAAGACTTCCAGATGTTGGAATGTATCAGTTTTCATCAATTTCTCATAGAAAACATCTATTAACTTGAAGGCTAAAGTAGTTCCCTTTCTGTGTTCCTTTCCTCGATTTTACTTTTACTTTTTGCCTGTTTTACTCTGTCTTGAATCATGACCATCTTCTCACTTCAGCCTCCCAAATGCTGGGATTATAGGCCTACCAACCATGCCTGTCTCACTTTAAAATAACAGTAACAATATTTGTGGAAGTGTAGCTTACATGAGATACAATGCCCTTAATAGTTTGTCATTCACTTAGTTGTGTAGTGGTCACCACTATTGAATTCTCTATCATTACATCTAGAAACTAGATATGTGTGTGTCTATATATATGTATATTTATTTATTTTGGGGAGGGCGAAGATTTTGAGACAGTATTTCTCTGTGGCTTTGGAGGCTGTCCTGGAACTAGTTCTTGTAGACCAGGCTGGTCTCAAACTCACAGAGATTTGCCTGCCTCTGCCTCCTGAGTGCTGGGATTAAAGGTGTGTGCCATCACCTCCTGGTGAAACTATATATTTTAAATAGTCATTTTCTTTTCTTTTTTTTCTCTAAAAACAAAGGACTTTACTCAGTTTTATCCAAGTAGAAAGCCCTCATGTAAATGGTAGGACTATTTCTAAGTAATAACTGGTCACATACAAAGAAACCTGTGGTGGAAAGCCATGGCCAATTGATGTTTAAATAGTCATTTCCAATTTTCTGTATTCAGTACAGCCTTAGGCAATCACAGTCTGCATTCTTTATCAAGTTGCCTTTTTACCTGTGTTTGAAAAAATCAAATCGTATGTGGTGTGGGGGTGTGTATATGTGGTGTGGGGTATGATGTGTGGGGGGTGTGTATATGTGGTGTGGGGGTGTGTATATGTGGTGTGGGGGTATGATGTGTGGGGGTGTGTATATGTGGTGTGGGGGTATGATGTGTGGGGGTGTGTATATGTGGTGTGGGGGTATGATGTGTGGGGGTGTGTATATGTGGTGTGGGGTGTGATGTGTGGGGGTGTGTATATGTGGTGTGGGTATGATATGTGGGGGGTGTGTATATGCCACAACACATCTATGGAGGCTGGAGGACAATTTAGAGTTGATTTTTCTCCTTCTACTTCAATATAGCGTCCAGGGATCAATTTTGGCTGTCAGACTTTTGTGACAAGTACCACTGAGCTATATTGCCAAACCTTAGCATGCAGAGTAGACTTAAGTCTTTGCTTCCATGAAGCTTCTGTTTTAGAGATAAAAATATTAGGGTGAGAAAATCCAGGCTGGAGAAATGACTCAGTAGGTAGAACCTTTGGTAGCCAAGTCCCTAGTAGTATGTCTGTTGTAATCCCATTCCTCTGGTGGCAAATGGAGACAGGAAGATCCACAGGAGCTCATGGGCCAGCTAGTAAAAAGAAGGAGGTAGGAGGTGAGGACATGCACCCTAGGTTGACCTCTTACTGCTCATGCACTTGTGTGTGTGAGCTCACCACCTATGGACGCTACAAAGGGCTTTGGATTACTTTGAGCTGGAGTTACAGGTATTGTCAGCCACACAGTATGAGTCCTAGGATCTGATTTCTGGTCATCATGATTGAGTAGCAATTGCTCTTAGCAGCCTATTTCTGAGGCTTATCCCTATCAATTTTTTCCCCCTTTGAAGACAGGGTCTCTTGTAGCCAAGGCTGGATTCAAATTTACTAAGTGTTGGGATCACACCCCATCAATTTAATGTATCAGGGAGTTTATTCTACCACCAGTGATAAGTGAGAATGGGCTTAAAGTGATAGTTAGTCTGACAAACCAATTTCACAAATGAACAGTCTATTTTGGTTTTGCTTTAGGATACAGTCTATCATGGTGGCAGGGACATAAGGCAGTTGGTCACATTGCATCTACATTATGGAAGCAGGGAGAGATGAATACTGTTGTTCATCTTGTTTTCTACTTTTTATGTAGTTTAGAATCTGAGCCCACATTTATAGTGGGACTTCACATCTCCGTAATACAATCTAGATTTGTTATGTGAGTCTATTGATTTGGCAACCAATATTAACCATTAAAGTTGGGAAGGAAGATGTAGTCGATGTTTCCCTGTAGTGTTCTTTTCCTATACTGAGACATTTTTTGAAAACAGGAAGTTACACTGGCTTCTATGTGAAAACTGAGTTTGGTATTCAGGGTAAGTGTCCACAGGAAGTCTTCTCAGGAATAGTGTACTTACCTGGTAAAGAGCTGTTGGTAGCTTAGAACAGTTAAAAGGAGAAGTGATCTGTGAGGGTGCTCATCTATTCTTGTGCTTAAAGATAAGCAAGTATATCTTAAATAATTATAAATGATGTGCTTAGGGACATAGGGATGTTCAGTAAGGTGCCAAAGATTACATTGCATGTTCAGTTCATAGATCATATTTGGAGCTTTGAAGGAGTCTGTATCCTCTGAACTATACCAGGAAATGTAGACTTCCAGAACATAATGAAAATGTATCTCTGTAGCAGGCTTTCTTTTAGGTCATCAACCAGCTCCCAAATCATGGCATGAGACTTCTTATTAGTTATGAATGCTTAGCCTTAGCTTAGGCTCATTTCTTGCTAGCTCTTATAGCTTAATTTAACCTGTTTCTCTTTATGTTTTGCCTCTGGACTTTTACCTTTCTTTTATTCTGTATGTCCTATTCAATGTCTGGCTGACTGGTGGCTGCCTGGCCCTGGGCGGCTCCCTTCCCCCCCTCATTCTCTTCTCTCTTCTTATTCTTTCTGTCCACTAGCCCCACCTATTCCTCTATTGCCTAGCTATTGGCCAGACCCTTTTTATTAGCCCAAACAGGTGCCTTAGGTAAGCAAAACAACATCTTTACATTGTTAAACAAATGGAGTGTTACAAAATGTAACACACCTTTGCATAGTTAAAGTACTACTCTGTAACTCCCTCCCCCCAACCCCCCAGGCGGGTTTCTCTGTTGCTTTGGAGGCTGACCTGGAACTCACAGAGATCCACCTGCCTCTGCTTCCTGTGTTTTAATTGCAAACTTTTCCTAGAAAACTTTTGTTTTAGTTGTAGCTCAGCTTGTTAATGTTTAGATTATTTGTGATTTGATTTTCACTAGACTATAATAATTTCACTATATAAATGACACTGGCAGAGCCTGTTGGTAGGCTGACCCATTTCACTGGACTTGTGGGAAGGTTTTTTCCCCCCTGGACTTCCCATGTCAGTTGTGATGGTCAAATGGTGGGACAACCATTAGTAGCTGAACAAAGAACTTCGGTCCTATAGGTATTGGAGTAGGAGATGCCCTGGTCCCATACTTGAGGCTGTTGTGACACAATTCTTTATCCTCCATGGTATTTTGTCCCCAGAGATCATTCCTGCTGCTGCCAGTAGTTGTCCTCTGACTCCCACATTCGTGCTATGTGACATGTGCACATTCCCCATGCTTCTACTGACCGCCCCCAACGGAGGAAGTAAATGTAAAAGTTGACTAGGATTTGCTTTTTCAGTTTTGGTACTTCAGAACTTCCAGATTACCATTTGAGGTAAAGGTTGGGGGGGGGCGTCATTCTTCATTTGAGTAGAAGGTGTTATATTTTCAGAGTAATTTTTTGCACATAATTAATCATGTAGAGAAAAGCTAAACATCACTCCTTTTTTCCAGATGTATGTCTGTCTAATCTATCCAGCTATCTATCTACCTACTTACCTATCTCCCAGCTTTCCTACCTATCTCATCTTTTTTTTCTTGCTGAGACAGATTCCTTATGTATATCCCAGATATTCTGGAGACTCCTGAATTTCCTGGTCCTTCTGCCTCCTTCTCTGAGTGATGGGTCGTGTGTTATGACACTGTGTTCATTACTTGACCTTTTAATGAAGCCCTTTGTTTTGTTTTCTCCCTTTTTGTTTCTTAAAACATCCCTTGGTCTACTGAGATTAGTGTACTGTCTGGTGGTCAGGTGACTTGTGTAGCAACTAGAAGCGGAAACAGCCGCTGCCATTGTGAGGGAGCTGCAGGCAGGCTGAGTACACCTGTGAAGGTGCTGACAGTGAGTAATGGGATAAAGTTAATTAGAATTACAAATACATCTGAATCCAGTTCATGCCTCCCTCAACCTGAGACTCAGTGACAAAGTCAGAGTTCTTTAGCAGTGTTATGTTATACTAGGATGACAGTTGAACTGCTTGTTTTGAATCATTTTTGCTATATTCTCCTCGTCACATAAATTATGTTCAACCTAGTGTCAGTCTTGTTCTGGAGGTTTAAGTAAACCCAATTATATGCTTTAAAACCAGATTACACAGATGTAGATGTTTTTCTTTGGGCCTTTCCCTGGGGGAATAAAGGCACTCTGAAATTCTTTCTTAATATATTATTTACCACATTTAATGGATTTATCTTAGCTTACCATTTGAAAGCAATAGCTGAATTCTTCTAATAATAGTCACTTTGAGGCCGGGTGTTGGTGGCGCACGCCTTTAATCCCAGCACTCAGGAGGCAGAGGCAGGCGGATCTCTGTGAGTTTGAAGCCAGTCTGATCTACAGAGCAAGTTCCAGGACAGCCTCCAAAACAATACAGAGAAAGAAACCCTGTCTCTTGAAAAACCAAAAAAAAAAAAAAAAAGTCACTTTGATTTCAAATTAAGTCAATTTTGGTTTTTCTCTAAAACTTTTTAGATTTAGACTTAACACTAATTTTTAAAATGTACATTGGTGTTTTGCCGTTGGTGGCAGGTCCTCTGGAACTAGAATTTCAGACTGTTTTGAGCTGTCATGTGGGTGCCACAGGTCCTCTGGAAAGAGCAGTCAGTGCTCTTAACCCCTGAGCCATCTCTCCAGCCTCACATCCTTGTTTTCATCAAAATCTTGTTATATAAGATTTTAAATTTTTCTCCCGCACTATTCCAGCATTTCAAGTATTGGCATGATACCATGCGTAGCATTGGTATCAAATAACCTTAACTACACGCTTGATATTCAAGTTGGGAAATTGACAATCTCCTTAATTATACAGTTTGTTTTGTTGTAGGGATATCATGATGAACTTCTAAAACTATGTGAAATGTCTGACATTTGTCCCCTATGGTACTTCTGTACATAGACTGTACTAGAGCAAATGTTATGCACACTGTGTGCTTCATAAACACAAGACAGTGCAGATATATATGTATGTGCCTGCAAGATGAAGATAGCAGAAGCGGTGTTCTGCCTTTGACAGTTTGTAGACAAAGTCTGCCCTCAACATATGTAGGTGACATACATCTCTTAGCTGGGCTTGGGTAAACAGTGACATAAAATGTGTATTCTGTATTGGTATACTCAGGAAGGTAGATAGATACAGTTGATAGAAATATAGCAGAATAGGTTTCCTTTAATAGCTTGAATGTAAAGGGGTCTAGAGAGTTATTTTAGTGATTAAGAACACTTGCTGTAACTGTAGAGGACTCGGTTTCATTCCCAGCACCCAGATGGTAATATACAACAACCCTTCATAACTCCAACGACACCAGACATTCATGTGGTACACATACATATATGCAGGCAACACACACCCATAAAATAAAATAAATATTAAGAAGAAACTTTGAAAAAAAACCTAAACATTCAAATACCTTACCCCTCCCCCCTGCCCGCCCACCCAGAGACAGGGTTTTTTTTTGTGGAACAGCCTTGGCTGTCCTGGATTGTAGACCAGGTTGGCCTCAAACTCAAAGAAATTCACCTGCTACTAAGTGCTGGGATTATAGGCATGTGCCACCATGCCTGGCATACTTATCTTTTATTTTTAAAAATGAAATTTTTATTTTTTTATTTTATTATTTGTGAGTGTGTGTGTATGTGTGTGTGTGTGTGAGAGAGAGAGAGAGAGAGAGAGATTGAGAGAGCGAGCATGCAGATATCAGACAAGCTTTGGATGTTGTTTTTCTCTTTCTACCAAGAATTCCAGGGATTAAACTCAGGTGGTGACTTGAGTATGGGTACAACTTATGTGTAAGAGACCACAGAGGTCAAAAAAGAACATTGAATCCTCCAAAACTGGAGTTACAGGAAGTTGTTAGCTGCCATTGGATGATGAAAGTCAAACGCCAGTCTTCTGTAAGAGTAGTTAAGTGCTCTTTATCACTGAGCTCTCTCTCAAGCCCCTATTTTTTTGTACTTTATTTTTGAGGCAAGATCTCTTGTATCCCAGTCTGGCCTTCTACTATCTACAGGCATTTACTATGCCAGGTTTATGTGGTGCTGGAGGTAGAACCCCAGGCTTCGTGCATACTTAGTATTTTCTATTCTTTTAAGATTTATTTGTATTTATGTTTGTGTGTATTGATGTGTGATTATGTGCTATGTCTTTTCAAGTGTGTGCAGAGGGTTAAGAGAGGAATTCTGGTCTCAGTGGGAGACCCTGTTTCAAAATAAAATAAAATAAAATAAGGTGAATAGTGATAGAAGAAGATATTTGATATCAACCTCTGCCTATACATCATGCATGTGTATCCTAATGAATATGCACAAACAACAAAATATTCAGACATATTACTTATATTAAGTAAAACAAAGCTGCCTAGCACTTAGGAATGTGTAGCCACATATAGAACCAAATTGCATTATTAATAAATACCATAGTCTTGAACGAGGATAGACATATTTGGGAGAGGCAACATTCTGCTTCTTATACCTGGGCTAGTGAGTCTTCTATTGTTTGGCTAATTCAAAGCCAGTCTGGCTTTCATGAGAACTTGCCTGAAAACATCAGAAAAACAAAACAAAAAGTACTACCGTTGTTGGAAGAGGTAAACCATGGAAGTAGGTAAAAGCTACAAATCAAACTTTTCCTCATCTTTACAGGAAACTAGCTTTTAGACAATTAATAGTTTGCTAATGAAGGGGAGTTAGAGGGATGTGGGAAGGCAAGGGAAGTGAAAGAGACCTCCCTGAGATGCTGCTTCTTGTTACCAGAAGATGCTATGGAAAATATTTGGAGGAGAACCACAGGGGTTGGTATCTGAATAGGACCAATAGGAAAAGGGGAAAACCAGGGTAAAATACCCATAACAGTATCTAGCCTTAGGCCTCTCCCATCCAGAAGGGATAAAGTTTTCATTTTGAAATCATCTTGGTCTTTCTGGACATTGAGTTCTTTATCCATGCAAAGCACCAAACTTGGAAGTTTCTAGATGGCCATAGCAACCCTGTTATATACTATATTGCAAAAGAGATCTAAAGAGAAAATACTGAATAAATATATATTTACTGATCTGTATCACATAAAAAGGAGACACTTAGATAAAACTCATTGAGCTGGTTAACATTTCATCTTCTGTTGAGAAGTGACACGTTGTGTCACGGTGTTTCAGCTGACAGCTCAACCTGTCTCATCATTACGTTTTGTCATTTTGTATGCTTTAAAATCTTATAGATTAAAATCAGTTGTTAGTAGTACCACTGAAAATGAGGTAATACAAGTATAGTTGTGAGTATTCAGTGAATTTTGTTAAGGATCACATTTCCTTACTGCAAAGTCTTCATGAGTTTTTATAGTACTTTGTTAAAGAGATATTAAGAAAATGTTAAATTGTGTTCTGAAAAATAAAAGATGTAATATTTAGTTTTGAATAATTTCTGGTAATATTTTGTTTTGTTTTTAGGTGATTCCTCCTAAGGAGTGGAAGCCGAGACAATGCTATGATGATATTGATAATTTGCTTATCCCAGCACCAATTCAGCAGATGGTCACAGGGCAGTCGGGACTGTTTACTCAGTACAACATCCAGAAAAAAGCCATGACTGTGAAGGAGTTCCGGCAGCTGGCTAACAGTAGCAAGTGAGTCAATTGAGTTTTTGTTTGTGTTTCTTCCAAAGGTATATGAGTATGCCAAGAAGTCAAGCTGACGGAGAAGCGAGTAATGAAAAACAGGGACCTCTTTTGTCATCTCTCTAGTCGTCATCTCTGATTTCTTTTCTCCAAACGATGGCCTGCTCACATTCACTTACTTCTAAGGAAATTGCTCCATATTTCATTATACATGATGATGATTATTATTGCAAAATCTAGAAATGGTTCTTTTAGTTGTCATAAGTTTTGAATTCTCTAGCTTTATTGGGCAAACTTTTACTCACAATTTCATTTTAAGTGTAAGGTTTCATGAACATTAGCAATTTCAAAAGAAGATTTTGAATGAAGAAGAAGGTACATACTATATTAGTTATCTATGGATATATAACAAATTCTCAAAATTAGCCTCTTAAGCGACCTCATTTATAAAACCTGGAATCTTGTAGGTGAGGGATTTTAGCTTGGAGGCCTTTTCCAAGTTTACTGTTAAGGTGTTGACTGAAGTGCTGTTGCTTGAGAACTTTGCAAGAAGGTTTTTCCCAGGTAAGCTCCTTCTATGAGGCTAAAGTCCTTGCTGTTTGTCTTTTAAGAGGAACTTTACTTTACCAGTATGTAGAGATACAGATATATTACTATTTTCTACATCTTGCTATCCACTCTTTTTTTTTTAGTTTTTAGCTCTTTGAGATAGGGTTTCTTTGTGTAGCCCTGGCTGTCCTGGAACTTGATTTATAGACCAGGCTGCCCTTGAACTCACAGAGATCCTCTTGCCTCTGCCTCCTGAGTGCTGGGATTAAAGGCACGTGCCACCACACCTGGCTTCACTCACACATACTTAAAAATACACTTCAGAGTAAATTGCAGTCATTGGTCCAATTTTTTCTCTTAAGTGTACTTTTGCATGTGTATGTACCTTTAGAGTTCAGTATTTGTTCTTTCTATTAAATTCATTCACGTATTTAATGTATTTTGATATTTTACCATTACCCCCTTATTTCCCTAAAACCCTTTTCATTTTCCTTTCCTTCTATGGGTCTCTTTCCCATGTTCATGCCTTTTTATTTGTTTTGTGACCTGCTGAGTTTAATCAGGGATGACTGAGTAATCATGGATTTATAAATATCCAGTGGAGTTTGATAGGCTCACCAGTGGTTATACATCTGAAGATAATGTTGCCCTCTTTGCAAAATCCATCCTTAGCCAGTAGATCTTCCTACCCTTGACTTGCAGTTGAAAGAGTTTAAGTGTCCAATATTGTTCAAACCCAGAGTGCTAGCCACAGCTGCAGTGAATTCACAGTGAAAACAGCTATGTCTATCTATCTTCCTGACCCTACATCATTTCTATATCCTCTTTGGCAATATTCCCTGAAGGCTCAGATAGTGGCAGTTGGCTTCTTCCACAAAAATTAAGTGCAGCTCATACTGAATATGGAGGATAATGAAGTGGTTTTTTTTTTTTTTTGAGATAGGGAAATAGACTGTCACTGTCACTGTCACTATAAAGCTAGACTGACATTGAATTTGCATTTCTCCTGTCTGGTCTCCCAAGTTCTGGGATTATAGGTACAGGTTACCACACCCAAAAAAATTTCCTTTCTTGAAGGAAAGACTATTAAAGAGTTTTTTGTTTTGTTTTGTTTTTACGAGACAGGGTTTCTCTGTATTGTTTTGGAGGCTATCGGTCCAGCCCGGCCTCGAACTCACAGAGATCCACCTGCCTCTGCCTCCTGAGTGCTGGGATTAAAGGCGTGCGCCACCACCGCCCAGCTACTATTAAAGAATTTATGGATGTATTTTAAAACCATCACAATTAATTTTCTTTCTTTTTTTAAAAAAGAATTATTATATATATTTATTTTATATATATAGTGTTCTGTCTGCATGTTTGCCTGCAGGACAGAAGAGGGCACCAGATTTAATTACAGATGGTTGTGAGCCACCATGTGGTTGCTGGGAATTAAACTCAGGACCTCTGGAAGATCAACCAGTGCTCTTAACCTCTGAGCCATTTCTCTAGCCCCACAATTAGTTTTCTTGTTTGGTATTTGATGCCCTAGATAAAAACCTTAACCCGCAATTAGAGGTGTAGCTCAGTTGGCGGAATGTTTGCCTAGCATGCATGAGGCTGAGTTTCATCATCAGTACTCATAAACCTTGTGTGGTGACATGCACCTGATTCTAAATGTGGAGGCAGAAGGATCATGTATGTAAATTAAAGTGTCTGAAAACTTCCATCAAGCTGACTGTGCCCAAACTCCTGCTTTTCTCCCCTTCTGTGAAATCTCAGAGTAAAGCTCAGCCTTAGAACAACAATAAAATCCCCCATTGTGACAAAAACCAAGCCAAACCAATCACAAATGTAACTGTCTGAATTCCTTGCAGGGTTGTGAATGGAAACAAATCTTTGGATGAATTTAGCTGATAAGTCATAAAAGTAAATTGTGTGTGTGCATATTTGACATAGTAGGCAGATGATGAGGAATCATTCCTTTTACATTTCTAGTATAGAACTTTCTAATACTCCATAGGAATTGTAAATTTTAAATTTAATTTTGAAGTTTTAAAAAGTACTAGTAGACCCTCATTCTTAGAGATCTTATTGAGATTCTAAAACATTCATTATAGGTTGAGTACCTTATTCAAACTATTGAAGGAATCTTATTAACATGCGTGTGTATGTGTAGGTGAGTCTGTCTTTGAGTGACCATGCATGTGTCATATAGCTTCTATGTGGTGGTCTTAGGACAACTTGGTGAGTTGATTCCAGGAATGGAACTCAGAGGCTTCTGAGGCAACAGCCTTTATTCACTGAGACATCTTCCTAGGTATAGAATTTTATTATTATTGTTGTTGTTGTTATTCCCCAGTGGGACCTGCATTGGGGAATGAGAGAACCAACTACCACAAATTTTCCTCTGACTTCTATATGGTGCACAGACATAATAAATGAAATCAATAAAAAATCATATTTTTGATAAGCATCATATCTATACCATGGAAAAGGTACACTGTACTTTGTGGCTTTTGTGATGTTTAAGCAGGGAGGGAGAAATTTCATTTTGTAGGTGCTATTGAGATAGGTTTTGAAGGAGGTTCAAAAGTTTCAACCAGATACATACAGAAGTAATAGATCCTAGCCAGATGTGAGAAATATTATTGTGCTGACACACACATTTAGTTTGAGAACTAGGAAGGCAAAGGTAGGTCAATCTGTGTGAGTTCAAAGCCAGCCTGGTCTTCATAGTCAGTGCCAGGCGATACAGGGCTATAAATTGATCTTAAAAAACAAAAACAAAAAAAAGTAATACACCATTAAAATACAGAAATATGTATCACCCAGATAAAATCATTGGAATGCATGGTAATTCAGAGTACTGATAAGAGGATTGGAGATGCAGTTCAGTGACTGAATGCTTGCCCAACATACTCAAATCTCTGAATTTGATCTCCAGCCCTTGTGTATTTATGTGTGGTAATGGGAAGTGGGAGAGTTTGGGGAGAGACTACAACTGATAAGAAGTGATCTTTGAAGTTCTTTGTTCTGTTCTCACAGAGAGTCTGTGGCCATTACTACGACTAGTCCATCTGATTATTCTGGCATGTTGTCCATCTTTCACTTAAAAAGTACATTTTTATTTTGTTTGTATGTAAAGATCACACATGCTGTGACAGTTCATGTGTTGGTCATTGAACAACTTATCAGTTCTCTCCATCAACTGTTTGTGTTCTGGGGATTGAACTCATATAGTCAGGTTTGGTGGCACGTGGTGCCTTTACCTATTTATTATTATTAAGGAACATAAATTCACTAGGGATTAATTTTATTGCTATCTCTGTTTATCTCGCTGAGGTGGCTTTATGATAGATCGATTCTTTTCCCCTGAAAGTTACTATGCAGGTGACATTGGCTTGTTTGTCTAGCCACTGTTATCAGTGCAACCTGAGATATGACAGGTATTCTTACTGTATAAATTGAATGGATGAATAGTGTTGTGATGCTACTTGAAGTTGTACAAATTATTAGATAAGTAATAAACATTTATTTAATAGCAATATGTATTTCTTGGCGTTATGTAATTTAAAGATTTTTAGACATGGTTCTCTTTTTAGTTATAAAATTTAATCATTAGGAATTGTTTGAGTGATTTCTAGATCAAATTTTATTTCTTTCAAGGTCTACCTACCCAAGGTTTTTTTTTTTTTTTTTTTTTTGGTTTTTTGAGACAGTGTTTCTCTGGCTTTGGAGGCTGTCCTGGAACAACTCTTGTAGACCAGGTTGGTCTTGAACTCACAGAGGTCTACCTGTTTCAGCCTCCTGAGTGCTGGGATTAAAGGCATGAGCCATCACCACCCAGTTTTTACTTTAGGTTTTAGCCTCTTGTATAAAGAATATCATGTAAGATGCTATACTGCTTCGGTTTTGTCAATTTAATACAAGCTAGAATCACCCAGGAAAAGGGAACATCCTCTGATCTGAAAATGCCTCCATCAGATTGTATGTAAACAAGTCTGGGGACATTTTCTTGATTAATGATTGATGCGGGAGGGTTCAGCCCACTGTGGACTGGTGGTCCTGGATTATATAAGAAAGTGGGTTGAGCAAGCCATTGAGGAACAAATCAGTAGTCATGTTCCTCCATGCTCTTCACTTTAGCCCTGCCTTCGGGTTCTTGTTCTGCTTGAATTTGCCTTGGCTTCTCTCAGTGATAGACTAGATTGGGACATGTGAGCCAAATAAACCCTTTGTTCCCAAATTGTCAGAAGTTTTGGGATTTCACTTACATTTATTTATATTTATTTTTTTACTCTTCCTGTTTGTATCTCTTTCTTTTTCCTATTTGTATTTCTTTAATCCCATCTCTTGTCTTATAGCTCTAACTAGTGCTGGCACTATATTGCGAAGAGGGTAGGGGAGTAGATGGCCCTGATACTTTTCTGATTTTTATGGGGTTGCTTTGAGTTTTTCTCTATTTAGGCTGATGTTGG